ACTCTACTCTACTCTACTCTACTCTACTCTACTCTACTCTACTCTACCCTACCCTACCCTATTCTATTCTAAAAGGGCAATTGCAAATTGCCCTGGATAAGGACACAACTTGGCTTCTGTGGGATACCACAGCTTTGAAACAGCGCTCTGACAGGCAATGTCCTGCTGGCATTTGCACCCACAGCAGCCTTCTGCAGAGGCAGCGGCACCAGCCAAACTGGCCCAAAGCGATGTCTGGCGCAGGAGCATCAGATGGCAGAGAGAGAAGAGGCTGCCGGGGGGGGGCACTTCCCTCTCTAGCCTCCGCCAGGTCCTCAATGGGAGAGAGCCAGGCCTTTGGCTAGTCAGCTGGTCCCTTGCAAAGCCATTTGCTCTGACCTGAGGCTCAGCATGCTCTGAGTCATAAGGGAGGCAGAGAGGCTGCTCCTGGAAACAGACCCTGCCTGTGGAGAAGGAAGGAGACTTCCAACAGGAGCTGGGGATGGGCTGGGAACCAGTCAGTTGACTTCCTAATCTCAGCTTCTCCAGCTGGGACGGTGCCTTGTCTTTTCCTTTGGTGCTCTGACCTAACCTGGATCTTGCTCAGCTGGTGAGGAAGAAGCCTGTGTGGGGGTGGGGGGTGGGTGGGTGGGGGGAGACTGGGCTGGAGGGGAACAAACCCTTAGCCCTGGTTGTGCTGGGTTAAAGTCCTAACTCAGAGGTCTCCAAACTTGGCAACTTTAAAACATGTGGACTTCAACTCCCAGAATTCTCCAGCCAGCATAACCCTCTTTTTTCTCTCTGTTCTTGTCCCTTCGTGTGTGAATCTTTGCGAGCTCTGTGAAGGAAATTGAGGCTAAATCCATTTCGTTGCATATATATATATGTACAATGACAATAAAGGTTATTATTAATTCCCAGAGGGAAAGTTTTCCTGGGCGCCCATCCACACCACAAATTGCCCCGGGATCGCTCTAGAAAGGGGTGTGTGTGTGTGTGTGTGTGTGCAGCTGTTACTGTTGCAATTATATTCGAATTATTTGGGGGGTAATCTACAGTTAGATTCCCCGTCTAAGACTGGTGCCAACTTAGTCATTCAAATCCCAACCAAGGACCTAAACTGCCCCCTAAGAACATAGGCAATCCCAAACAGGGCGGTTTACTCTTTGTAAAATATTAGTCTTGCAAAATGATTTTGATAATTTCACTATTTCCAAAGAGCGAGGAAATCCTTTAATGATGACTCCAAGGGATCCAGTCAAGATGAGCAGAACAACGCTTTCTTTTTTGTTATCATTTTCATGATTACTGGAAGTAATACTAAGTTAAGTCTTTTTGCGCCCTATTGTAAACTGCTTCAACATTTGACATAAATGAGAAAGTCGGAACCACTGACCGCTGCCTCGATGGCCACTGGCTGTGGCCGCTTGCTCCGAAGTGCCTGTGCCGGTTCTCAGTCATCCAGGTTACGGTTGTCCCAAATCCAAAAGAGAACTGGACTTTGCTTCCCCCCCGTCCTCCCCCGAAGACGTTTCGCTTCTCACCCAAGAAGCTTCTTCCGTTCTGATCCCGCTTTCCTTGGGGCCGCTCCGGGACGCCCAACGATTCAAGAGCTCCTTTCTGTAGGGATTTGAAGACACGGGTTTTCTAAGATGGGCAGCTCGTCCGATCGAGAAGACTTCGGGATGCTCTTTGTTTCGGGGCCTTTCGTGTCACACCTTGCGCCGTTTCGTCGCTGCTCTTCGGATCTTATTTTTATTATTATTATTCTGAGGGGAAGAAAAAAAAAAACCAGTTTCGGATGTTGAACAAGTCAGGAAGTTCACAGCCGATTCGGACCCGCCCGGCAGCCACTCGCTGGTCCTTTGGGATTGTTTTTTTTTAAAATGAATTATTTTATTTTATTTTTTATTTTTGCAAGGAAAAGACATTTCGGGCTGCTGAAAACGAAGGCGGGATCCGGCCAATGCAAAGAGCTTGCTGGATAGACAGGTGGCCGGGCATCTCGCGCTTGTTCCACGCTCACGCTCCTCCGAGATTTCGCGGATTCTAGCCGCGGATTGTGTTTCTCTCTCCGCCCACGAAGCGGTCGAGAGGACCGCGAGGGCTCCTCCTGGACATTTCCGCTCAATGGAAGAGGAAGGACGCCTCAGCCTGGAAGGGGAACCGGGCTCATGCAGGGCGGGGGTGGGGGCCGATGTGCCTCCTCCTGCGCCGTCACTACTTCATCGACAACAGAGAGGGCGAATCGTGTAGGGGCTCCTACTGGGGGGGGGGGGAGTTGGGCTAGATGACCTACAAGGTCCCTTCCAACTCTTAATCTGTAAGTAAATAATCTGGCTCGTCCCGGGTTGAGAGAAAAGGAGGGAAGCTTCCTCTAACGCCCGGCCTTCACCAGGGCCTTAGAACCAGGCTCTGCACCGGGCTTTTAAGCGTGCGCCCCGCGGAGCAACAGGGAGCCAAGGCAGCCACCGCCAGGACTCGCGACTGCGGGACTTGGGCGCAGATGAGCGGGTGAGGAAAGTCCGTGCCTTCGCTCCTTCTCCCGGAGCTGGGGAACCTTTTCATGGCCGGGTGGAGTGGTGGGTGGTGGGAGGCGTTCCGGGCTGAGGCTGGTTGAAATGGCTAGTCAGAAATGGTGTAGGGGGCAAAGGTCTTCCAACTTGACAGCTTTTAAGACTTGTGGACTTCAACTCCCAGAATTCCTGAGCTAACATGTCTGGAGGAGGAATTCTGGGAGCTGAAGTCCACCAGTCTTAAAGCTGTCAAGTTTGAAGACCCCTGAAATGCAATTTCTTTGTCAGAGGGCACAAGAAAGATCCAGGAAAGTTACGGCAGGTCTTAAAACTTGAACAGAAGAAACATTTTCAAGTCCCACTCAAACTGTGGCCAACAATGGGAAGATGCAGATTAAGCCAGAGAATAGGATGTTTGAAAGTCTCTCGTGTAAAAGGAGAAGGGGGGAGGGATTCTTGCCCCTTCCTGCTAATCCACACTGGCTTTTAAAGCTTGTTGCTTCAAAGGAGAATGAGGCACAGAGAGTCTGGCATTTCACATTCACTCCTGGCTTCAATATATCTTTGCCTTTATCACAAAATTCAAATTACTTTTGCTTCACTCTACCTCTTCCAGGAATCAAGGCTAACATCTTCCTACTATTCTGCCTGTCCTGTACAAATACTGTACAAAGGCAGGTAGATCAACTCCACAAAGCATCCGTACAAAGTCTTTTTTTTATTGGTTCATCAGGCATCCTGTCAACTCACATTTATGACGAAGTTCTCCTTAATGTCCAATCCTTTGCATATCTGAATTGTGGTGTAGGAAGATAAGGTCTCAACCCCATGATGACTGAAGCAGCCGCATGGTAATGGATTCAGGCTAGAGTGAGGGAGCCTCCCCCAACCCAACAAGGATCAATTTAGTGATCAGTCAGGATTACAGATGTGACCACATGACATGGACTACATTTCCCAGGGTACCTTAACTACATTTACCATGAGGCATTCCCTTAAGGGGACAACTCACAAATCCTAACTAACTATCCCAAATCCCATTAACTCTAAACTGTCTGGACAGCACACGGGGTGTAGGGTCTTCCTGCTTAGGCGGAGGGTTGGACTAGATGACCTACAAGGTCCTTTCCAACTCTGATTATCTGTAAATCTGGCTGGCTGGCCTCCCTTTCTTGGAAAAGAAAAGGGACCATTAGACAGACCTCTGTGACAAGAGAGCTGCTAATCCCGGGCGCTGGAAGCAGAGAGCGGCTTGCAGGCAGAAAGGGCCGGCCAGGCTGGAGAGTAGCGCCTGTAGCCGAGAATTAGGTTTTCCCAGCCCACGTCCGAGGCCAAGGGGGGCTACCCTGATAAAAGAAAGGGTAGCGTCTTGCTGTCCGGATGGAGCTTTTGGGTCTGCAGGGGGCAAACTGTGGCCTTGGGAGCGGCTGAGAAAACGAGAGTCTCTTCTTCGCCTTTCCTAATCGGGAGCGCGCACAGGGGTGGAGAAACCCGAGGTCCGGGCGGTTTCCCCTTGGATGTGACACGCGACCCGGCCCCACCCACCCCTGGCCGTGGCCTGTCAATCATTGCCAGCGGCCACCAATCAGAGGGCCGAAGCCAGAGAATTTTGGCAGGCGGCGATGGCTTCTCGGAGAAAAACCGCCTTGCGGCTCAGGGTCCCCCCGGCGATCTCCGGGAGCAGCCCGTGCCTCTGGGTTGGTCCGGGTGGCGGCTTGCTCCGACGGCTCCCCACTCCTGCAGGCCCCCCGCCCGACCGCCGCGCGATGTTGCCTTCCCAACACGTCGGGTGGCCTTGGTCCTGGCGTGGCGCCCGGGAAGCGGCGCGCCCGAGCGCGGCACAGGGTTGCCGGAGGAGGGCTGCCTAGCAGAGCCGCGCCAGCTGCAGAGGCCGCCCAGCATGGAAGCCCTGGGGGGGCTGGAGCGGGAGACGGCGGGGTCCGCCCCATCACAGGCCCCCGAGCCCATTCGCTTCGGCATCGATCAGATTCTGGGCTGCCCTCCGCCGCAGAGCTGCGCGGGCGAAACGGGGACCCTCGAGGGCCACGGCGGGGAAGCCGAGATTGTCCCCCAAAGCGGCGGCTACGAGGCGGACTACGGCCCCGCCTGCTCCCTTGGGGCGTACACTCTCCCGGAGGCCTCGCCCGGCAACAGCGGCGTGATCCGAGTACCCGCGCACCGCCCGATGCCCTCCGTGCCCGTCCATCCTCGGCCCGCGGGAGCCAGCCTCGCCTTCCCTTGGATGGAGCACAGCAGGCGACTGACCAAGGAGCGGATGGCAGGTGAGCGGGAGCCCCCTCCAACTTCGGGCAAAGCCGAGGTGCGGCTCGGAGGTGGCTTCAACCCTACAGAAACGCTCGGCGAAATGTGGGGCGCGGGTCCTAGCAGCATTGGGGAGGAAGACGCAGGAACGACCCCCCCCCCGCTTCGAACCCCGGCCCGGAGGATTTCCTGAGCGCAAAGGCTCGCCTTCGCTGGCCGCGGAGGGGCCGCGGAGGGGAGATGGCCACTAGACCAAGCCTTTTCATACAGCGCAGGGGTCCCCAAACTTGGCGACTTTAAGACTTGTGGACTTCAACGCCCAGAATTCTTCAGCCAGTAGATTAATTCCCCTCTGGGAAGTCATAACCTTTATTGTCATGTGTATGTATGTATGTATGTATGTGTATGTATATATGTGTATGTATGTATATGTATGTGTGTATATGTATATATGTAAGTACCACATACATTGGACAGACCAGCCACACACATTGGACAAACCAACAGGAGAATAAATGCACACATCGCAGAACACAAGAATGCAGTCAGAAAAGAAGAAAATTCTTCCTCCCTTTTCCAGCACCTTAAAGCCACAGGACATGAAATTAATTTTGAGGGAACCAAATTAATGTCCAATACTGAACACTTCAACAAGAGAATAATCAGGGAAGCCATCGAAATAGAGATACACCCCCATAACATGAATAAACTGGACGATGCCTCCCGCCTACCAGACATCTGGAAATTAGCCCTTATCAACAAACAAGTCCCAGCCACGAAAAACAACACCGGACCCAAAACAACACATGACACCACCACCATTCTCCCTCACCAGACTCAAACCCAAACCTACCCCATAGACGAAAGGCAACCACCGTCCAGAAATAAGACCACGGCTGCATCACCAGCTGCCACAGCCCCTGACCCCCAAACCAAGCAAAAGGACACACACCATGAAGGCCTCAAACTCGGAGCCAAACCAAAACCCAGAAGGTCACATCACAGCCACCTGCTCAGGATATCACATCATGGAACTCAGGAGGTTACACCACAAAACCTCAGGATGTTGCAACACAGCCAATGGCCCAGGAGATAACAGCACAAGACCCAGGATGTCAGAACAATAAAACTCAGAAGGTCATCACACACCCCGTGACCCAGGTCATTACAACCCAGGAGATTACAGCACAAGACCCAGGATGTCAAAACAATAGAATTCAGAAGGTGTTCACACAGCCCATGACCCAGGGTGTTACAACACAGGAGGCTGATAGACACACAGCCAGTACCTCAGCCACACATGTTCTTACGAAAAAGTCAGCCAATCTGCAAACATCAACTCCATCAACCAATCAAGAAATGACAACACAGCCAACCTCCCGACCAGTATATATAGGGAGATATATATATATAGGCAGCTCCGATCACGCTTTGCTGGCACAAGCACGAAGCCAAAGCACCAGCCTGAAGATGGTGAGTGGGACCTCTTCGAAACGTTGCCAAGATGCTCTCAATCTTACACGGGAAAAGACCCGAACGTGCTAAGACCTGCATGTGTACGTACATATATACATATACATACACACACACACCGAAATGGATTAGCCTCAATTTCTTTCATGCAACTCGCAAAGATTCACACATGAAGGGGCGAGAACGGAGAGGCTGCTTTCAGTAGCAGCGATCAAGGCCACGGCCCTGCAACGTCTCGGGGGTCTCCACGCTGCTCGGAGGGGATGCACAGGAGAGAATTAGCCGCCCTCCCTGCCCTCTCCACGACTGGCGCAGGGAAAGATGCCCCAGCAGCACCCCCCCCCCCCAAGAACCCGGTAGCTATGCTGGCTGGAGAATTGAAGTCCACGAGTCTTAAAGTTGGCAAGTTTGGAGACCTCTGATACAGAGAATCAGGAATCCCCTCCCCCCCTCCTCCGAAGTTGCCCTAGAAAGAAACCAGTTTGGGGCGGGGGCGGGAGGGGGGGGACCTGGTCATCAGGGAGCGACCCCCGAGGAAGCTGCTTTTGAGACTTGGGAAGAACAGGACAGAGAGAGTTGGAAGGGACCTTGCAGGTCATCTAGTCCAGCCCCACCCCACCCCACCCCGCCCAAGCAGGAGACCCTACACCATTTCTGACAAATGGCAGTCCAACCTCTCCTCTTAAAGTCTCAAGTGATCCGTTTCATTTCATTTTACTCTTTATTTTCCATTTGCAAACGGGCAGGGTGAATCCTAAGCCCGAGAAACGAGGTGCTGGACCTCCAACTAGTTTTAGCTTAGCCGACTTGCATGGTGGAGGGGGGGGGGGGGGGGGGGGGCGCTGAGGCGGCGCTGGGCTCCTGGCTGCGACAGAAAAGGAGGGTTCATGGACACCCCTGCCTAAAGAGTCTCAAGCGCCACCAATCTAGGGAGCGAAGCGGCAAGTCGCGCAGCTGAACCGCTGGATCGAGCGCAAGGCCAGCCGCCGAGATCGCTCTGACCGCCCCCTTCGGTAGGGAGGCAACCCACCCGTCTCTCGTTCTCGGGGGGGGGGGGGGGGGGGGGGGGGGGGGGGGGGGCGTCCTGGGGAGGATCCGGGAAGCTTGAGGTCTCGGTAGCAACCGACGGTCTGCTTCGGCGCTCCCGAATCTCAGGATCTCCGCTTTCTTGGTCTGCCCGTAGCCGCGTTGCCGCCCTTCTCCGTGGCCAGGCGGGTCGGCCACCCGTATCAGAATCGCACGCCGCCCAAGCGCAAGAAGCCGCGCACGTCTTTCTCCCGAGCGCAGATCTGTGAATTGGAGAAGCGGTTCCATCGG